ATATATTATATATATATATATTATATGGACTATGGCCAAGATTTATTCATTTTATAAGAATCAAAAATATTTTACAAGGACAAAATAATGTTTACAGATTTTAGAAAAATGAAAAATAAAAAAATAATTTTAGGAGGATTAAGTCAAAACTTGTTCATCACTTTATATGAATTAAAAATATATTTAAATCTATAATTTAAATTTTTAAAAAATGATGAATAGACATTTCATTTGAGATTTATGGATAAAACAGAAAGACAAACAAATAAAGAAAAAGAGAGAAAAATAGTAAATATCATAAATAAAGTGATATAAATAAATAAAAATGAGATAAAAGATAAAATAAAGACGTCATGATAGTGATAATAACTCTTTTGACTTTTAAAAAATAATTTATGGATGCATAATAATAAAAGACAAAAGAGAATGAGACAAAAGACAAATAATTTAGATATATCTACATATCTATTTATAATATTATAAAGATATATAAAATATAATAAATGTATAATATTTTTTAAGCAATATAATCCTACTATAAAAAATCCATATAATTTAAAAATCAAATTCCTAATGACATGTTTAAAAAATGTAATTATTTATCGATTGTATGGGAATTTGTTGGTGCATAATATATGTATGTGTTTGTAACATGCGAAGAGAGATTCTCACAGTTACGGTACGACTGTTATTGATTCACTTTTGACTTAGTCAATCAATTTATTTATATAATTCTATAGCATAAATTTTAGGTTAGAAAGTTAGGTCATGGATCAATAGAACGGCCAACGACCAAAAGTCCACAACGTTCAACAGGCTGCCCTTTAAATGAATTAGTATAACATCTTTATATATACAAAAATAAGAATGTATGTACTAAAAGATTTCTTCCAAAAAATAAGTTCAGGATATAATTATCAAATTATTTTTAAATTGAAAATATAATTATAAAATAAAGTTTATACTTTTGTATTAACTATCTCATATTTATTATTATTTATTTGGCATAATTTATTTAAAGAATATATATGAAATATTATTTAAATATTATATTGTTACGACATTATTATATGAAATATTCTTAACCGAAATTATAAGTATTAATAAAATATTTTAGATATTCTCACGAAAGATATATAAGGTTATTTTTAAGATTTGAGTTTCATAAACTCATTTTTGAAAAATTTAGAAAAAGAGAAAGTTTAAAGAGAAAAACTATGAAGTTAAAGGGAATCATTTCTCTTCCAACTTCATAGATTTACTTCTACCCTTCCCTTGAGGGTGATTTTGGTGATCGAGTTAAAGTGTTCACAGATCGGGTTGAATAAGGTTAGGGTGAAACTTCAATTCAAACCAATTAAATTTAATGAATTTGGATTGGTTCAGATTTCATAAATTTTTTTGCTTAACCTGAACTGAACCAATCTAATGTTGATTGGGTTGGTTTGGTTTGGTTCATTGAATATCCAATAAATTTTTTAAAAAATAAATTAAAAAATATTGTTTTTCTCAAAGTAAATTAATTTTTCTAACATTAGCTAAATTGATATATTGTCAAAAATTAACTAAATTGATAGATTTGCGATATAGTTCCTCTTTATTTCTTTTCTTAATTTACTTAAGGATTTTAAATGCGTTATATACAATTGTCAAGTAAAATCCAATCCACAAAATCATTTAATTTATGGACGACATTTTTGTGGTAAAGGTCGTAATGCCAGATGAATCATTATCATAGGGCATAGAAGGGGAGGTCATAATCGTTTATACCATAAAATCAATTTTCAATGAAATGAAAAAGATATATATATGGTAGAATCGTAACTATAGAATATGTCCTAATCGAAATGCATACATTTGTCTCATATACTATGGAATAGGTGGAAAAAAATGTATTTTACACCCCGTAGGAGTGTGTGAAAATGACACTCATATTATAATATAGTTCTTCTTGATTTCTTTTAAGTATTTGAAAAAAGGGATGAAACAATTTATATATTGTAACATTAAAACGTCTTCAAAATAATCAAAATGATACATACATGTCAATTATTAATCAAATAAAAAAGAATAATATATAAATTAATTGGTTTGATTCGGATTGATTCAAATTTTAAATGTGTAGATTCAATACTCGAACCAATCAACATCGACTTTAATTAGTTTGGTTCGAGTCGAACTCGAACAAAAGAAATTCGAACAATTTAAATGGTTCAGTTCGAATTGTCAAATTTGTTGGATTGATCTGATTCGATGAACACTCCTAGGTTTAGTGGTAATTTAAAGCTATTAAGTTGAGAATTAGAGCTTTTAGAGTGACCGTGTGGAGTAGTCGAGAAAAGTCTATTTCCTCTTTCTTCCTCTATTTGTTGCAGATCTAGAGGTAAGGGAAGGTAGAACTCAATTATTTGTTGATCTCTGAAGTTGGGTCTTGATGATGTTGTGTTGTACTTCCTTTATGAATTGTTGATTTAATTGAATAATGAGCGAAAAGTGGAGTTGTTTTGTTTTGCATGCTTTACCACTCTTGAAAGATATGATGAGTCGTCTATTTGATTTTGGTTGAATGTTGATTTTGAGGCTCTCTTTATCATTGATGCTAGACATGGGATTGTTACACTAGTGCAAAAGAGGCTTTTTTCGTCTGTATTTTCACGTCGGACCACAGCATATCCGACGTAAAAACGACGCGGTGACATTTTTGAAAATAATGCAAACTTTTTTATGTCGGACAACAAAGGGTCCGACGTAAATTCAACAATCTACGTCGGACCTCAGCTACAACCGACGTAGATTTTTGAATTTACGTCGGACCCTTTGTCCTCCGACGTAAAATAGTTTTTTGAATCTATTTAATGTAGCGCCTCTCCATTCTTCTCGCGCCTCTCCATTCTTCTCGTTCTTCACTTCTCGTTCTCCATATATGTTCATAAGCTCACTTTTGTTTAATTAGTTGCGTCCGAGATTGATAACCAACACGTAACGCCTCTCCATTCTTCTCGTTCTTCACCAAATTTCCTTCCCGTTCTCCGCTCCTTTACTACGTTCGAAGGTTCCTTTCTTATCTTCTTCACACCTTTCCTTTCCCGTTCTTCATATATGTTCATAATGTTTATCTTTGGTTGCAGACAGGAGCAGAGTGTGACACGACTCTCAGGAGAGAGGGCTTTCTGGATCTTGAATATGGACTACCAGTTCAAGTTAGGGACACGACTCTCAGTAGAACGGGCCGTTCTGCAAGGAGAATGGGTCGTTCTGCAAGGAGAACGGGCCGTTCTACAAGGAGAACGGGCCGTTCTCCTTGCAGAATGGCCCGTTCCAGCGTAATTTTTTTTTTGGGTTTTTGCAACTTTTTACATCGGTGTTTTCCTATCTCCGACGTAAATTTACGTCGATCTAAAACGCTGACGTAGATTTACGTCTCCCGCTTTTACGTCGGAAGCTTTTCTGACGTAAAAACCTTAAAATAGCTGACGTAAAAAGCCTCTTTTGCACTAGTGTTAGCGTTGAGCGTGAATTAAAGGAGAACCTTTGACTAGGTCACACTAGACATGGATTGAATAGGGCCAGGCCTGAGTTCCTTTAGATTTCTCTAACTTACATTGGATCCTAATTGAGTGGCATTAGGCATAATCAAGACAAAAGCTCTTTGCCTAAATGATGTCAAGCGCTAGTGTAGTGATGATGGGTGTGAGTCAATAAAAAACTCTCAACCTAAACGAGGTTGAGTGTGGGTTTTGACTTTGTTAGACATGATTGACCTAGAGGCTTTTTGCCTCATTCACACTAAATGTTGGCGCAAGGTGTGGACTAGTTAAAGGCTTTTTGCCTCAACGATGTCAGGCAAGGGGAGAATGGCATTGGACGAGGGTTTCCTAATGAAAATGTGTTGTTTTTGGCTAAATGTTGAACACCATATGAGTAAGGGTTCTTACATGTTGTACGTTATTATATAATGTTAGTTCTTTATACATTGATCTAGGATGATATATATATATATATATATATATATATGATTAAACTATTGAAAGTAGTAAGTAGAATTGCATGTTGTATTGTTGAGTTGGTGGTGTTGAGAATGCTTAAGGCATTATGTTGAGTTGTGTTAATTGACTTAAGACTAGAGAATATGTTGTTTTAAAATTCGAATATCCTATTGTGAGGATATTGTATTATGGTGCTCTGTGAATCCAGTTGTTGAAAACTCTTTTTGAGAAATTAACTCTTGAAATAGATTTTTGAGTCTCCTCTATGACCTTAGTTGATGTTGTATGAGAACAAGGTCAAGTCATACTATCTATAAGTGACCACAGTATAAGGGTCAAGTTGAAATATACTGATTATAAAAC